AGATCCTAGTGGCCTGCAGGTGAGCTAGAATAGGATAATGGGCTGTGAGGTATTAACAGCTGCCTTTGCTTCTGTAAAACCTTATTGCTATGGAAAGGGGGGGTGAAATGATCTTTTATTACTATAGAGAGAGAAGAAAAGGACAACTGAGGGAAACAAAAACAGTTTTCTTGCCCAGTTGTGAATTCTATGCTGTTTGTAACGCATGCCTTTCTGATATCTGCCCTTACCCACACCCCCTTAACCACCACTTCTAGAATAGTATAAGGTAGCAGTCCTTCTGCTAGGCAGGAGAGCTGGCCCCAGGGTCTTGAGAGTAGGACTCTGGTCCTACCCCTCACCAGCTGCAGCCTCTCAGACCAGCAAGCCCTGCACCTCACCTGGGCAGCACAGAAGAGCTGATTGGCAGGGGTGTGGGTGAGCAGGCCCTGAAGGCATGGGAGTGGGAGAGCTAGCCCCACTATCTGCTACACTGGTGGGGATGAGGGAGTGATGGCACCCTCACCCCCAGGTGCCTTGCCCCTCGCTACCTCCTGTAGGCAGGAAAGCTGGCCATGGGGCCACGAGAGTGGGAGAGCTGATCCTGTCCCTCACTGGCTGCAGCACTGGGGAGAGCAGGCCCTGCACCTTGTCCAGGTAGCACAGTAGACCTGACCCTGCTGCCAGGGGCACAGAGGAGCTGTCCTATGGGTATGGGTGCAGGAGATCTCACCCTGCCCCCACTCATCCGCCATGTGGTAACATGGGTGAGGGAAAGATGCCCTCCCCATCCTACCCCCATCCCCTGTCACCTGTGGCAGGCAAGAGAGAGGCCCCAGGGTCACAAGAGTAGGCGAGCTAGCTCCGCCCCCATCAATTGCAGCACATAGGAGAGCAGGCTCTGCATCTTGTCTGAGCAGCACACTAGAGCGGACCCTGTCGGCAGGCACAGGTAAGCTGACCCTGACGGAATGATAGTGGGAGAAATGGCCCCACCCTCCCATCTGCCATGTGGCGGTATGAGCAGGGGAAAGATGATCCCCACCACTCCTTTTACCTACTGTGGGACAATGGTCTTGTACCCTGTAAAGATTTGTCACTTGTATTAGTTTAATAAAATGCTGATTGGCTAGTAGCCAGGCAGGAAGTAGAGGCAGGGTGACCAGAATAGGAGAATTCTGTGAAGAGGAAAGGCTCAGTCTGCAATCGTCACCCAAACACAGAGGAAGCAAGATAAGAATGCCTCACTGATAAAAGGTACAAAGCCTTGTGGCTAACACAGACAAGAATTATGGACTAAGATATAAGAGTTAGTTAATAAAAAGCCTGAGCTAACAAGCCAACCAGTTTATAATTGATATAAGCCTCTGTGTGTTTCTTAGGACTGAATGGCTGCGGGACCAGGTAAGACAGAAACTTCTGTCAACACTGGCCACCTATGGAAGGCACGAGAACTGGCCTCAGGAGCATGAGGGCAGGAGAGCTGGCCCTGCCCCTCACCAGCAGCAGCATTAGGGAGAGTGGATCCTGCACTTCACCTGGGCAACTCAGCTGACCCTGGTAGCATGGGTGTGGGTAAAGATGGCATGAGAGCAGGAGAACAGGCCCGCCCCTTGCTGCCTGCTGCACTAGGTGAGCTAGCAGGGGCAGTGCTGGAGTGTTAACCCTGGTGGTGAGGACGAAAGAGAACTGGAAGGCTGACCGACCCAGTTACCATCCAGGCCCAGAACCAGGGCTAACAGTTGGCGCAACCCAACATCCACCCCGTCTATGAATCGTGGGAGCTCATGAAGGGGCTGATCCTGCAGACTCAAAGCTGCAGCATCTCAGTGACACAGGGCAACAACAGGATATTCAAGAAAAGTGAGGGCCTAGTATTGATAGTGTAGCAGAAGCCAGAGGCCTTGAACCAGGCCAATGACTCACTGTAACGAACACTTGCAAGTAAAGATGTATGGACTAAAGGGTACACTGTGTGGCTCACTCTGTCACATCACAGCTTCCGTGGTGAGATTTTTTTTTCTTTTAAATTTTATTTTACTGGGGAGGGGCTGCAAGGGCAGAGGGCAGATACAAAGGGACAGGGAAATGAATAGGGTAGGAATGATGATGTGAAATCCACAAAGAATCAATAAATAGTTTTTTTTAAGAATAAATTCATTTACTCTAAATTTGAATTGAGTCTAACTCTCTGATTTCTCCAGTGGATTTGAACACTACGACACTAACATGTTATCAAATGAACAGAGAATACCAAGCCTTATAGCACCTGGGCTACTCATATCAGTACATCGTGTTGATTCTGCCAAAAACTGGACTCTAAACTTTACTCCTTGATTGCCAAAATCACAGGCACACACTGGAAAAGAACCGTGCTCTTGAATCTTGAAGAATATTTGTGAAGGTGAATATAGTGAACAAACAAAGTCAGTGGTAGAAAAAACCATTTGTTGCCCCAAGCAAATCTGTTGCTTAAACAGTAACAACAGAATCTAATCAGTAAACTTCCCAGCTGCCAAAATTATAAGAGCAACTTGCCTATTTAAAAATGTCACATTTCCCATCTGATATAAATATTTGCCTTCTGCTTACATTCCTGAAGTGCACTACAAATTAGGCCACACAATGAAATTCACCTTGGCACAAAGTAGTTAATTTTTTTCTTCCTTTCAAGTGACCCAGATTGTACATTATGAAAATTGGGACCCCCCTGGTGGCCTTTTGGTGATTAGAATAGATCACTGCAGACTGAACCGACTGTCAGCCATCAATTCACACATCATTTCACACAAGAGACAGTCTTAACTACTTCATTCAAGTCCACTGAGACTTGGTTCAGCCTCAGTAACTGTTTATATACAAATGGAAGACCTCCTGCTATCTAGTTTCTGGAAACATGATACTAGTGAGATCTTTTTATTCATTCTTTTAAAAGAAAGTAATAAACCTGGTAACTGAATAGCATACTTGAAAAATGTTTTTAAAAAAGCAATGTCACAAAAATAGTAAAAGTTGATGTAAAAAAATATTAAATTTGCTAGCCACATTGGTTTATTAGCTTATCATCTCTCCCTGATATACTTGCCTGGTGTTTAGCACTGTTAAACAAATTAACTATTAGCATTAGTGATACACTTTCTAGGTTCTTGTAAGCAATCCTGATCATCTTCCTGTAAAGAAAGATGTTGGGGATGGGACAATGTGACTCCCTAATTAACTGCTGTTATCCCATGTTACACCGGCAGCATTCACCATTTGACTTGAACACAGTCAGGCGGACTGCACTGATGCTTTTACGGGCTGTTCTCAACCCTCTACAGACAGCTTGAGAAAAATCCACAATAGCTGCACAATGAGCAGCTCCTGAAGTACATCCACTCTCCAGCAAAACATTGTCAGTCTCACTGGAAGAGCCCTATAGAGCTTTGAAGCCTGGAGGGCCAAGGCTCTTGGATACCTTCAGCCCTGGAGATACAAAACTGGCCCTGCCTGGGCCTACACTTATAAAACTAAAAGTCCTGGTACCCTAGGCCCATAGAAGAATGGCTGAACCAACAAGTGGAGCAAAGGGACCCACTCATCAGAGCCATCAGGAGAGTTACAATTCTAGAGGATGCTACATGCTGCTGCTCCCTCCTGTCTGTGACTGCAGCTCACTGCTGTCAGATGCTAAAGGATATAAAAATTGCCAAATACCACCACTCACAGAGATTCTCCTCAGCTATCCAATGTGTATTGGGAAGAGCAAAAGAACACCAAGCCACACGACTGGTGACAAGTACAGACCTTCTCACTGCGAGCAGGAAGTGAGAAACTGTACCACAATAATGCCCAATACAGGCACTCTCCTGCCCATCTATAACACTGATTTTATCTTGTAAATGTTTTGTATAGACAAGAACCAGTAGTCTCAAAGTGTCAGCTCAAACAATAGCAGAATGGCTAAAAACGCAGTGCATTTCACTGATGACTAGGGATGTTGAACATTTCCTTAAGTGTTATTCAGCCACATTAGATTCCTCTGTTGAGAGTTCTGTTTAGGTCTGTACTCCATTTTTTTTATTGGATTATGCGTTCTTTAGATGATCAATTTCTTGAGTGCTCTGTATATTTTGGAAATCAGACCTCTGTCTGATGTGAGGTTGGTGAAGATCTTTACCCATTCTGCAGGCTTGTCTTTTGTCTTGTTGACCATGTCCTTTGCTTTACAGAAGCTTTTCAGTTTCAGGAGGTCCCATTTATTAATTATTTCTCTCAGTGTCTGTGTTGCTGGGGTTCTATTTAGGAAGTGGTCTCCTGTGTCAGTGCGTTCAAGTGTACTTCCCACTTTCTCCTGTCTTTTTCTACTTCCCATGTAGATTAGATCCATGTATGTCTCTCTTGGGGTCCTCTTTGTTGTCTAGGTTTTCTGGGATTGTGATTAGTAGGCTGGTTTTCTTGGCTTTATGTCTAAAAGCCACTTATGAGTGAGTACATATGATATTTGTCTTTGTGGGTCTGGATTACTTCACTCAATATGATGTTTTCTAGCTCCATCCATTTGCCTCCAAATTTCAAGATATCATTATTTTTTCCTGCTATGTAGTACTCCATTATGTAAATGCACCACATTTTCCTTATCCATTCTTCAGTCGAGGGGCATTTAGGTTGTTTCCAGGTTCTGGCTATGACAAACAATGCTGCTATGAACATAGTGGAGCACATGTCCTTGTGACACAGTTATTTAACAGTTTAATTTATTCCAAATTTGGGGGGAAAGAAAGGGACAGCTCTATTTCACTTAAAACAAAGGTTTTGTAAGTTTCAAAGGGCTTTAAAAAAATTAAATAAATGAATGAATAAATAAAGGGCTTTAAAAACTGAGTAAAAGTCTTTGCTTTTCAAAAAAAAATTTCACAACTTCAGCTTTTCTTACATCAAGGGAGGTAAGGTAAGGATTGCCAAAAATAACAAAGCAACAGAAATCACTTGAAGTTTCTAGAAAGCGGTTACACAGTATGAAAAAGAGAGAGAGCACATACCCTTGTTCATCTGGGGCTCACTCTCTTCCTCCATGTCCAAATCTTCTAAGCCCAAGAAGTTGTCTACCTGCAAGAAGATTGAGATTATCTTGCATATATTAGACACAAAGAAAGGTGATGTAGTCAGGGACCCATGCACACAGCTGCAGGTTAGACCTCTTTCCTGTGACCTCTCAAGGTCAAGCCCTTGTACGCATATGCTTTCCCACCTGCAGGAGCACAACATTTGCAAGCCCAAGGTTTTAAAACGCCACAGCCTGTTCTCTACAGAGAAAGAGAAAACAAGCTGGGGTTTCTTGTGAGTGACTCTGTTCTAAATTTTCTTCCCAAAATGTTTAACACTACTCTGTTTAATACTCTGTTTAATGTTTAATACTCCTCTGTATCAGAGGAGACAGAGGGCCCCGGGTTTGTGTGTTACTGCTTCTGAAGACACCAGTGATGGAGGTGGTGGGCCACCACCCTTCCGCACAACACGCTCTCTGACAGCACTCTGGAGACCAGACAGAGGAAGCTAAGGAGAGCAGGAAGGAAAAGTCCATTCAAAACAAAATCATGCTGCCGGGGAAATCACAGGAGAGGTGAGCAGGGCAAAATATCAAGTGTTCTCTCTTTCAGGCAAATAATAGTGAGAATTACTTCAAAGGTAAAAAGCACAGCATATGACCTTCCCAGACCCAATAGCTGCATTTTAATAAAGAACTATTCCACATGGAACACCGCTTCCCACTGCACAGTGACAATGAGGCATTTCAGGGGACTATCAAAGCGTGTAAATAAGAAAATGTTGGCACATGGCATGGAAAAAAGACACAAGGTTGCTATTCATTTTATGCTCATAACCTAAACATAGACATAAAAAATACCTTAAAGTTACAAACTGAGATTCCTTAACTGCATTCAAGGCAAACTGTGTCTTTCTGTCCTGAGCTGATTATGGACCGTGCTGACCCCACAGAAAGCGAAAACGGTAGCTTCTATGCCTCTAACCTGGTGACAATAACTATTACTCGGCGGGCAAATGCAAAAGCAAAATTCACCTTCCATGTGACAATATTAAAATTTGAGAATTAGTTACATTGTAGCATCTATCTTCTTAGTGAGTATGCTAAAAATCCCTTCCCATTTGTTAAACCTTAAGGAAAAAAGATCCAAAAGCCAGTCAAGCACAGTTTAAGATGTTCCAACACCAATTTAAGAGAGAGAGAGAGAAAGAGAGAGAGAGAGAGAGAACCTTTCAAGACTAAAATCTGGTGAATCTTCAGGTTTGTGCAAAGAAAAGCAAGAGTCTAACGTTTGTCTATTGGTTTGTACAGTAGTTTGAATAAGAGCTGTCTCCCGTAGGCTCTAGTAATTGAATACTTGATGACAGTTGTTGATGCTGCTTGCTAGGTTTAGGAGGCAAAGCCTTGCTGGAAGGAGTCTGTCACTGGAGATGGGCTTTGTGACTAAAAAGCCTTGCCTGCTTCTAGTTCACTCTCTGCTTCCAGCTTGTGGCTGAAGATGTGACTTCTTGGCTTCCTGCTGCCTGCTGCTTGTTACTGTGCCTCCCCGCCACGACAGACTTTTATCTATACTCTTTCTTTCCAAGTCGCCATGGTCATGGGGAGTCATCACAGTAACAGACAAGTTGCAAATTTAGTTCATTTGTTTGTGTGTGGTCATCCCAAGGCAGATAACTGAATCTGGCCTTACCTTGACCTTTCCAGCCTGGGTCATGTCACCTTGAAGGGAGCTGCCAACTTTCTGGCCTTCATCAATCACTATCTGAAAGCACAGTAAGGACACACAGTCAGGAAATAAGAGTTTCTATTCCTAGCATGATCTGAAAGATTCTCTAAGCTACAGTCATGGTGCTGGAATAGATTTCAGCAAGTCTAAGTGTAATTCTGGTACCCTAGGCTCATCCAACATCTAGCAGGTGAGCACAGGCTTAACTCCAGCTCGTGCACAAAACAGACAGCTGCTCCACCTCCGAAGTCCTCCAGGCAATGAACCTCTGATACACAAATCAGAGACTGCTACTACAATGTTGTCAAGCTACAAGAGGACAGGGCAATATAAAAATTCTAGGCCTCCCTATATTTAATATGATCTCAATCATCACTGTAGAATGTGAATCATTTATGGAAAGCCTCTCATCTCTCATAGGCATCACTAGAAGCAAGCGCTAAGAAAACGAATTGTAAACCTCTCTGCTATATTTCTATCATGGAGACTTCTGACCTTTATAAAACCAAAATCTAGTATAATTCTGTCCATAATATCACATAGAAAACACTGCAAACAGAAAAAAGAAATTCAAATGACTTTAAAAATTAATCAAAACTCAATGGTTTGGAAAGAGAACACTATGAATTATCATTCCTTGATAATTAATCATGATAGCCAAAGAAATGAATACTGTTGACGACATCAGGATGATTAGGAAACATCATCTAATATCTACAATCCAAATCTTAGAAATAGCAAGATAATGGCTTCTACTTTAAGTCTAACTGTGATAAGTTTAGGACAGGAAAAAATAAGTCCAGTTTATACAAAGAAGTAGAAAATGGAACTCTCTTGTTAAAAACAAAATATATAATTTTATAAAGCATTTATACATGACATATCCCTAAGAAGTTTTTACCAAAAACTGAGGATTATCAAACACTGGCATGTAATGACTTGATTATCAACAAAATGCTGTTACAATGGCTTCTTTTCCTAGGAAAAAAACCCTCTTCTTCAAGTTGTTTCTATAAACATAAGATAGAAGTACCTGGTCATCTTCTGAGCATTCTGATGAAGTATGAGGAATGACAGCTGTATTTCTAAAATGATGACCATGTGATTCCTTTTTATGGGTCAATTTTTTAGTAGTAAATATATTTTCTGACAAATCAGTTCCACATGCTCCCCTTCTGGCCACATTATTCTCTGAAATGGTAAGTTATGAATTATTAAAAACAGCCACTGTAGTCAGATTGTTTCTTTTGTGCTTACTAAAAATCTTTTGTCCCCCTCCCCCTCAAAAAAGAATACTTCTTAAAGAACTATGTAAGTAGGAGTCACTTATAGCCATAACTACTCTTAAATACAGATAATACTCCTTCAACATCTGATAATATTGTCTGCTACATACCCAGCACTATATCTTACCATTGTTAAAAAGTTCAAGGAAGCACAGTTTCCTTAAGATTGAAGACATTATTTAACTCATTTTACCTTAGATTTGGAAATTTTTCCTCATATGAAAGCAATGTATGTATATTTTTTAAAAATTATGAGAAAAAGAGCAAAATATGAAACTCATCTCTTTAATTCTACACAGCAGAGTAACTAAATAAAATGTTTAGAGGCTTATCTGTTCATCTCTTATGTATCCATGTACTTCTAAAACTCAAAATATAACATATAAATACTATGGTTTGCCAGTAGTTTTGTTATGTTATTGAATATCATTCTACATAATTTTAAGTTATAGAGAACTCCACTATCTAAATGTAAGATAGTTTACTTAATCAAAGTCCATTCTTTTTTATTGTTCATTTTTTTCTAGCCCAATAACAGTTTCCCCTCCCCCAGTCCTTCTCCCCAATCTTCCTTCCCTCCCTACCACTTCCTCCTTTCTCTTCAGAAGAGGGCACGTCTTCCACTGGATATCAACCAAACATGGCAAATCGAGATGCAATAAGACTAGGCACCTCCTCTCCTATTAAGGCTGGAGAAGGCAGCTCAGTAGGAGAAAGAGGTCCCGAAAGCAGGCAACAGAGTCAGAGACAGCCCTTGCTCCCACTGTTAAGAGTCCCACATGAAGACCCAGATACATAACTGTAATGTATGTGCAGAGGGCCTAGGTCAGTCCTATGCAGGCTCCCTGGTTGTCAGTTCTGTCTCTGTGAGCTCCTGTGAGCCTGGGTCAGCTGATTCTGTGGGTTTTCTTTTGGTGTCCTTGACCCCCCTGGCTCCCACAATCCTTCCTCCCCTTCCACAGGATTCCCTGAGTTCCCCTAATATTTGATGATGAGTCTTTGCATCTGCTCCCATCAGTTGCTAGGTGAAGCCTCTCTGATGACAAATGAGCTAGGCACCAATCTATAAGAATAGCATAGTATAAAAAAAGAATAGCAGAATATCATTAGAAATGATTTCATTGATTTTTTTTTTTCACTAGACATGTTTGGGTCTATCCTAGGACTCTGGGCCGATCAGCCTCTGGGTTCTAGCCCTCCAGACAGTGCCAGGGGTGGACTCCCATTCATGGTATAGGTCTTAAGATGGACCAGCCTCAATGTCCATGTTTAACTATTTATAATTATAAGCAATACCTCTTGCTAGGTGGTGGTGGTGCATGCCTTTAATCCCAGCACTCAGGAGGCAGAGGCAATCGGTTCTCTGAATTGGACGCCAGCCTACAAATGAATCTACAGAATGAGTTCCAGGACAGCCAGAACTACATAGAGAAACCCTGTCTTGAAAAAACAAATTACATACATACATACATACACACACATATACATATATAAGCAATATCTCTGTGTTACATTTATGCACTGCACAGTTCTGGCTTTTCCTTAGGATAAGAAAAGAATTTAAGATTAATTCAAAATTAAGACACTGAAAATTCTATTGTGACACCATCAACAGAAATGTGGGGGGAACAAAATAGAATAAGTCAAGTAAGAAATTATAAATCTAGATCTTGCATGTTTCATTTGTGGTATTATGGAAGAAATGGCCCAAACACAGCTACAAATGTAGACTGAAGTGTGGAAGGAATATCACAATCAGAGATGACTACCTAACTGGCTATCATCTACACTGAGGCAATAGCTTAAGACAAAAAGAAATATTTTACTATTAGTATGATGGTTTTATATATATATATATATATATATATATGGAAATATATATATATATGATAATGATAAAGGATTAAAAAACAATCATATAGTAGATATCAAGCCATCCCCAGTTGGGTAATCCTATGCCATACCCTTCACTAGACTATGATGAAATTGTCTCAGAGATGGAGGAATTATTTTATCTGTGACCTGAGATAGGTCTGTAAAAGCCTAGCATAGCAGAGAGCAGAGTCACCATAGTTATTTCTTTTGAGGTGTTACTTGCATGACATAAAAATCTGCCATTGTTGTGATGCTCACAGTTTGGTGAGGGACCAGCTGGAACACTGTTGTAATAGTTTCAAAGAAGATGGCCTGCATAGTTTCATATATTTGATGCTTGGTCACTAGGGAGGGGAACTACTTGAGAAGGATCAGAAGATGTAGCCTTGTTAAAGTAGGTGTGGCCTTGTTGGAGGACCTGTGTCACTAGGAGTGAACTTTGATGTTTCAAAAGCCCACACCAGACCCAGTTTTTCTCTTTCTGCCTGCTCCCTGTAGATCAGGATGTAAATCTCTCAGGTACTGCTCTAGCACCATGCCTGTCTGCTTTCTACCATGATGATAATGAACCAACCCCCTGAAGCTATAAACAAGCCCCCAGTTAAAGCCTTTCCTTTGTTTTGTTTTTGAGTTCCAGTGGTCGTGATGTCTGTTCACAGCAACAAAACAGTAACTAAGACAGAAGTTGGCACCAGGGTGTGGTATATTGCTGTGACAGGTCTGAGCATGCTATTTTGTTGGAGGAAGATGAAAGATTTTTAGACTTTGGGCTAGAAAAGCTGTTGAATGCTTCTAAGCAGGGATTTATGGGCTAACCCGAGTAGCAGCATGTAAGGCAGTGGTGCTGAGGGTGATGTGGACTGTGGGGAGCCGTCTTAAGCAGTTTCAGCAAAGAAGAATATTATCAGCTGGCCTAGAGACCATTTTGGGATATTCTGGCAAAGAATGTGGCTGGATTTTGTCCCTGTCCTAGAACTCTTCCTGCGGCTAAACTTGAAGAGTTTAGGATTAATGGCTTTTACAGATAAGATTTCAAGAATCCTAGTTCTTATGCAGATCTACAAAGAAAAGAAACAAACAGGGCAAAGAGAAGTACAGAACTTTAGTTGAGGGGGAAAAAGAGCACCAGGAAATGTAATGTGGAGCCAAGTCTTGTGTTCCAGGAGATGAAAAATTTAAAGAAAAGATTGATGCTGAATGGAATAAAGGGAGTGATAACCTCAAAACTAGACCTGACCCAGCTGATTCTGCAAACTGTGAAAGGAAACGTCCTGAGGATTTCATAGTCCTAAACAACAACAGAAATCTTGTGCAAATGTAATTCAAGGAGGTGCCCAGGTTCTAGCCCCACAAGCATCACAGAACCTGGCAGCTTCTGCCACATGGTTCTGGACTTAGAGCCAAGAAGGATATAGGCACTGGCTTGTGGAATCTTCCTCCATTTTTAAGAAAAGTCACTGCATGGCGGCCTGGAGAGGAGATTGCATGAAGCTCTAATGGTAAAGCCTGGATTGTCTTGGAGATCCCAAGATGCTGGAGATGCCAAAGCCATGGGATACCTGCCAAGGACAACTGCTAACAGGAGGTGGAACCAAGAGAGCTATGTGTGTTGCAGTCAACAAAGCTGGAAGGGAAGAGCCATCTAATAAATGCTTTAATATTAGACATGGGATTACAGAATTTGGAGTTTGCCCTGCTGGTTTTCAGTCTCGCTTGGTCCAGTATTTTCTCACTATGCTCCCTTACTCCCCTTGTTTGATTCTGAATACCCTATTAAAAGTAAAATTTCTCAAGAATTAACAACAAAATTTTGTTTATTTGTGTATATGGGTGCTTTGACTATGCATAGGTCTATACATCTTTGCATGCCTGGTGACTGAGAAGGTTAGAAAAGGCATCAGATGCTCTGGGACTTGAGCTCTAAAACTGGTGATTTAGAGCCACTATGTAGGTGCTGATAATTGAACATGGGTCCTCTAGAAGAGAAGTCAGTATTCTTAACTACTGAGCCATCTCTTTGACTCCTTTTTTTTTTCAAACCCTGAAATACTGTTATAGAACAAAGTTAAGGTAACAGAGCCCTGTGATAATAATTCACATCAAATGAGTAATTTTCTCTTTTAAAAAAGAAAAAAGGGCATATCCATATACTCTGAAACCATCTCTCCCATTACAGCCTACCTATCAGCAATTCCTAACCAGTCACTATTGGAAAGATGACCTCTGCCTTCGGTACCAACAAATTCTGGCCAAAATCTCTGTTGCGAAGTGCAAGCGTTGGATGCCAGAGGTAGAAGAGCTCAAGAAGTGGGTAATGTGCTAGCAGGGTTGCTAAAGCCACTGCTGGGATAACAAACAATCTCAAGAGTCAGACAGTGAGGATGAGATCGATTTATTCTCCTAGACCTCTTCCATCTTAGAGTCAGTTCCCCACGGTTCTCAAGGTAACAACAGTAAGTAGTGTGGAGGGACACGGTGATACTCAGAAACAAGATAAGCTACTGAGGGACGGGCAGATGCCTCAAGCTCCATCAGAGTCAGAAGGGACGGCTTCCTGTGGCTCCTGCCGTTTCCCAGCGCACTGACGGCAATAAAGGGAGCAGTTTCCATCCTCCAAGATATCTTTTAAGTCAAACAAACCTAAATTGGTATTTACCAAGAAAATCATGCACACCCAACCCAGCACTGCTACACTAGTCAATCGGCTTAAATACTTGAAAAGCACAGTGGACCGGAAAAGGGACATTCTGCAATGACAGGTTATATATGTTGTCGGATCAATTCCCAATTAAATGCCAGGGTACCTGATAGGTCACCAGATGAAACTCCTTTGAAATACAGTGAAGTCTAAGCTCCTGATGCTGTTATTGAATTACTGATAACAGTCTCAACTCCAACAAAAACTCTACTCTTTCAAAGTTCACCCTCTTGTAAATGTGAAGTTTTTATCTTTAAAACACCAAAGACTCAGAAAAGTATGCCCTCTCTGTGATTAAACTTAAGTTAAAAATGCTGTCCTAAGCCTTGAAA